AGCCTTTTCAGAATTACCGTAGGAGTTAAAGGGGTCTGGAAGGCAAAAATAACCTGCGCGCAGGCTGTCTATTAATGCATCGAGCCTCGAGGCTCGTCGGCGCATTCTAAGCTTTTCGATTTTCGAAACCATAAATTAGTTAAATTGGCACAAAATTTTCCTGTGCTAAATTTACTCACTATTAGACCGATACTTGGCTAAAAATCTCCTACTTTCCTGTATCCAATTATTCTCCACCGGAAATTCGCAATCCTTTTCACCCGGATACCCATGCCATGCCAGGGCAGCACGCACCCTCACCGAGTGCAGGGTGTAAAGAGAAGAAATCGCTGCCCTTATCTCTCTCGCTCTCTCTCTCTCTCTCGCTCTCGTGCTCTCCCTCTCCTGCAAAATTACCCAAAATCTTGGCTGTCCCCTTGGCCTTTAGCCGGGTAAAAGCACAATTTGTTGGAAAGCTTCGAAGTATGGAGGAATTTAGCCCGCAAAGGATCTCTGCTAGCTTGCCTAGAAAAGTTGGCACAAATTCTAACAATCCCTGCCAACTCTAAATAATTTCTGCTATTGGTCATGGATTCCGAAATAATCTCTGCTAGCTCGCCCTGGCTCTCTTCATTTTATGTCAAGCCCGAATCTTTAGTGATCGATGTCAGCCTGCTTTGAAATTAGTTTCAGACTTATTTTCCGAACCTAATTACGTCTGAAAAAGCGCCTTTCATTAATGAGTTTTTCTGCTTGATCCAATTGACTCGTCACTCCCGGGGCGCGCCTCTTCACAGGCTAACAATGCTGTAATGCCCGTCGGGGTTGTGAGTATGAGAGAGAGAGAGAGGGAGAGAAAAAGCGAGAGAGAGAGGGAAAGATAGAGAGAGAAAATGGCTCAAGGCTCTCGCAAAACCCGACCCGGCTCTTGTTTCGTCGCGCCTCACGCATAAGCCCAAAAATATGCCCTTGGGCTGCTAAAAACGTACCGTTTTTAAATACATTGAAAACTATAAAAATTCCATCTGTTTGGCCCTTTAAAATTTTTCTGAAATTTTTCCGACATTTTTTTGAAATTAAAATTTTTAGAATCGGCAAAATTTCCCACAATAGTAACAATTAAAAATTCTATGCCTCAATTTTCGTAATAAAATTAATAATAAAAATTTTATCATATAGACGCCATGTAATTTTCCGGAGGTCGAATCAAAAGCTTGAATAATGAGGTGGCGGGCCCAGGTGGCGGCCCGACCGGCCATGCCACGGGCCCCAAAATAAGCGTGGGAGTGGGGTGGGCCGTGGGGCCGGGATTTGGCTAGGGCCCCTGCCGGGGGTAAGGCCCACCAACCCCAAAAAGTCTCGAATCTCAACCTCCCATTTCCGCCTTCAACACACACCAACAGACAGAGAGAGAGAGAGAGAGAGAGAGAGAGAGAGAGAGATACACCGGGCAACCCCGCGTCGAATTCGCTAGGGGTGTCTGTGGGCTATAAAACACCCTGGGTGGGGGCTATTTTCGGGTGCCTAACAAGCCGAAAAATTGGCAAGACCCTGAAAAATAGAATACCGACAGCTAAAATACCGACAGCGAAAATCCCGACAGTCAGAATCCCCACAGTGAGAATACCGACAACCAAAATCCCGACAGGCATGATCCCCACAGCCAGAATCCCGAGAACGAGAGCCTTAACAGCGAAAATCCCGACAGCCAGATTCCCTAGCGCGAGAATCCCGACGCCCGAAATACCGACAACCAGAACCCCGAAAGCCAAAATCCCAACAGCCGGTATTTCGACAGCGAAAATGCCGACAGCAAAAAATACCGAAGGTCAAAATCACACCAACCAAAAGAGGAGCAGGAGGGAGCAGAAAAGATTTATGCTAATTTTAGAAAAAAACCGTTTTGATGCTATTTTACCTGGGCCTTCCTGATCCCCTTAAAGTTATTGCATCTGCTTTGAAGTCCTATTGTTTCACTGCGTCGCGACCTTTGAAAAATCCTAATAGCTAGCCGAGGTGCTTTGGGAAGTCTCAACAACTAGCAGAGATTCTTTGTTTGGCAGAGCTTTTTTGAGAAGTCATTCACGAACAAAAAAAAATTTTTGGAAGGAAAGTGATCGTCATAAAAAACGAGATAAGTCAGTCCAAAAAGCCCTTTGCTCATCTGTAGTTGACGGCGGTCAAGTATGTAGAGGAGACTCGGCCAGGGGGGGGAGTCCCGGATAAACGATGTTTGCGAGCCCCGAATGGGGGGACGGGGGGCTTTGGCTAGGTGGTCGTCGGGCGGATTTTCATTTTTGCGAGCTCCTCCTCCTGCCTACTGCCTACGGCTTCTTCTTCTTCTTCTTCTGCTTCTCCTGTGGACGAGGAGGAAATCGAATCCACCGCCAGGAGGAGGGGGAGGGGGAGGTCCTTCTACGGCAAGCCATAGCACGGGGAGAGAGCTCTCATCTCACAAAACCCCCCTTCACATCCTAGATAATGGCTGAATTAGGAAAAATTAGGTTTGGGTGATTGGGCTTAAGGTTCGGCTTGGGCTTGCGTTTAAGCTGGGCTTAGGTTTAGGATTATACTAGGCTTAGGCTTAGGCTTTGACTGAAGCCTCTATGTAGGCTAGACTTCGGCTTAGGCTTGGGCTTAGGCTGAGGCTGAGGTTTAGGATTTGAATACTTAAAAGAAAAACGAAATTTAACGCATCGTGTACTAAAAATTTAACCCATTTTAATCCGAAAATGCAAAGAAAACCGGGTCCAAATCAGACATGTTTCCGGGGCGCTACTATTGACAGTACTGTCAATACCTATTTAGCTCAAGATCCAGATCTCACCCGGGAGCACGAGAACTTTTTCACCTCCCCAAAATTCCTTTTGACACCCCCGAATACGCTCAACAAAGGCAGGGACAAGGCAGTAGCCTGAAGGACCCTGAAATGGTGATGGAATGGGGGGAGGACCCAATTAATAGGGGGGCCATAGGCTCTCTCTCTCTCTCTCTCTCTCTCTCTCTCTCTGGCACGATCAATGAATCCAATTAGGTGGCCTACTACCCCCGAAATGTCGCAAAAGGGAACTATAGAAATAGCAGGTGCAAATTAATTTACAAATACTTCAAAAATCGTACGTTCCTGGCCGTAGGCAAGCTATCAGAGTTTTCTGAGGAACCTTGGCTGAAGTATAGTTAGGATTGTAAAACTACTTATCAAATCCAGGTGATCTAGTGCTAGAGAGAACAAGAGAAAGCGAGAGAGCGAGAGGTAGAGAGCGAGAGAGACAGCGAGAGTGAGAGAGGGCAGGGAAATGCCTAGATTCTCAAATTCAAGGGCTCTAAAGGGACAGACAAGGCAAGTCTCTGCATTTTTGGCAATCGCTCCGCCTACCCGATCCATTACGCAATGAAATTCGTACACCTGCCTCGAACGGCGCTTTTCAATAGGTTTGGCCACCGAGACGGGGTTGAAGAGCTCTTCGCCTTGGTCTCCCCGATTTTTTAAATGGATTGGATCATCTATCCTGAGAGGCTCTCTTCGTGTCATGGCTTTGATTGGATTCTGGGTAGCTTCTCCTCACAGGGGTAAGGGGAGGTAGACGACCTGGGAAATTACCTGCAAAAAGCAGGGGGGAGGGTGAGGCTGAAAGGCTGCCCCCGTCTAAACAATTAGCTATTCCGGGGGTTCTGTTTCTTTTTCTCTAGTGCATTTGGGGGAGGGATGGCCCGGATTTATTCCGCTAGTCATCTTGTCGGATTTAAAAATGCCGATTGTTGGCATAATTCGGTATTATAAAAATTTGGTATTCTAATGATTCGGCATTCGAACAATCCGATTTTTAAAATCCATTTGAGAAAAATTTTTGCCAGGGGAGTTTTTGTCTATTAATGCGTATATTAAAGGTCCCAGAAAGGCACCGAAGCCCGGAATTAAGCAAAAATAATTGAAAATCAAATTCGTTTTAACGAATTATAGTTTGAAAATATGTTAAAATTTAAGAGCCTAAAACGAGAGAAGAATTTGCTAGAAACCTACCCAACTCCTGGCCCCCTGCCTTCAATGGTCCTTTAAATGGGCAAAACAACCATGAGATTGCAATTCTGCCAAAAAGCAAACGATTGGTGGTGCCGGGATTCGAACCCTCGAGCCTTGACTCGCAAGTCGAACGCTCTAACTACTGCGTCAACTGGGAATTTTGCTTAAACTTCAAGAATAAAGTAAAAAAATTCTCAAAAAATTAAATATATGTTTACTGAAGTAGGGTAGAGACCCTAGCCAGTACTAGGTCTCTGTGTATGTGTATGTATGCGTGGGCCCTCCCCTCCTCTCGGCTCTCGGTGGACCCGTTTGATGCTCCGCTTTCATTAAATTAGTCCGTGGGCTGTGCGTGAAAGGGGTGGCGAGAGAGAGAGAGCGAGAGAGAGAGAGAGAGAGAGAGAGAGCGAGAGAGAGAGAGCATGCAGCTAAAGAAAAGAGTAGTGGGTGGGAATCTATTAGTCTTAGTCCCAGGATGGAGCACCACATCCGCCGGCTACTCCCTTTAACAACCGGTGTAAGCTGGGGGTATAATCCAGAGGGATCTCTGCAAGCTCGCCCCAGCCAGATTCGCTCAAAGAATCTCTGCTAGTCTGCTCTTTCCTAAAGATTCTCTGCTAGACTACACTCTTCAAGAGTAGCTACTTACCAGAATTTTCTCCAAGAATCTTTGCTAGTTGGCTCCTTCCTAAAGAATCTCTGCTTGCCTGCCTTTCCTAAAGAATCTCGGCTAGCCTGCTCTCTCCTATAGCGTAGCTGAAAGTCAGAATTTTTCCCATAGAATCTCTGCTAGTTGGGTCCATCCTAAAAATCTCTACTAGTTTCCTCGGGCTGGAGTATTCCCTAAAATCCTTGCTAGCCCATCTTTCCCAAAAAAACTCTGCTATTTAACTCTTAAAGCCACTTCCGCTCTCCATAAAACCCCTCTCCTCCCAGTCCCGGGGAGACGGTGAATGGGAGCGACGTCTGGCTCGATAGCCGGAACAGGAACGGCTGGGAGATGCTCGGAAAAAAAGCCTTGTTCCTCCCTGGCGTTTGGCCAAAAATCTCCGGTCTAGACAAAAAAGGTGGCTATGATTTACGCAATTCTAGGGGCAACCCGGAATGGAAATGCGAGAGGGAGAGAGAGAAAGAAATGGAGAGAATGCGGCAGAAAATATGCTGTGTGGATTGTGTCCCGGCTAGGGACTGTAATCTGCATACGAGATTGGCCTCGCAACATCAGGGAAGAGGAGCTGCGGCTACTGTATATGGTGAGGAGAGGGTTAGCGAGAGAGAGAGAGAGAGAGAGAGAGAGAGCCCGGGAGCGAGAGATAGAGAGAGAGACATAGAGAGAGAGCGAGAGAGAGAGAGAGCTGCGAGAACTTGCCCAGTTTCTTAAATTCAATGGCGAGAGAGTGAGAGAGAGAGAGCGAACGTGAGAGAGAGCGAACGTGAGAGAGCGCGAACGTGAGAGAGCGAAAGCCAGAGAGAAAGTGTGAGCGAGGGAGCGAGAGATAGATAGATAGATAGATAGATAGATAGATAGAGAGAGAGAGAGAGTGAGAGTGAGAGTGAGACGCAAACGTCCAACTTCATATCGTAATGCATTTCTCCGAAAATTTCTATCTAAATTAAACAACCATTTTAACACCCCATTTCCGTATTTTGGTGTCCCTGGTAGCGCCCCTCCAACCCTGCCCAGTCCCTTTAAACCCCTCTTTCAGGCTGGCTGTCCAGCGCCTGGTCCTCCTGCAAACGCGGCGTCAACTGGGTGTGGCGCGGAGCCGAGAAAGCCGTCACCACAGCCTGGCAATACACGAAACGGGTCTTCTGCTGGTTGTGGTCCAAGCTGAGAGCTTTTTGGCAGTGGATTTGCCGCCAATTCTCGAAGATCAGCCCATTCGTGAAGACGGTCCTCTTCTCGCCCGTCCCCACCCAGGAATTGCCCCCTCCGGCCTATCCGTTAGTTGTGTGCGAAGGTTCCGGTATTGCTAAATTTCAGTTCTGGCTTCCGGCCAGTCCACTTTGACACTGAGGAGCGGTCGATGAGCGAAGACGTCAGCTTCAAGGAGGTCATACAACAGCAGAATGCCAACCCGGGGTAGGTTTTTGGGTAGGCAGGGGGCTTAGGCTTAGAGTTAGGCTTAGGCTGAGGCTTCGAATTCCAATCGGTTCCCCGACACTCAGTTCCCCGACACTCGGTTCCCCGACAATCGGTTCCCCGACATTTAGGGAATGATACCACCATTATAATTACGTTAAAATAGCACCTTATAATTGTCGGTGAACTGATTTGTCGGGGAACCGAGTGTCGGGGAACTGATTTGTCGGGGAATCGATTGTCGGGAAACCGAGTGTCGGGGAACTGAACTGATACCGTGTACCTAAGCTTAGCCTTTGGCCCGACCCCGAGACGTTAGAGCATAAAAAAGCTAACCGCTTTTCCAGACTGCCCCCAATCCCTCCGCCACGCCCAATGACCCCAGCCCTGAAAGTCACCGAAGCCCCCGATGACGAAGATCACGAAGAACAACCCGAACCACGGAATATCCGCTCGAAATCCCCAACCCCACCCCCGGTCCCCCCGAAACCCCACAGCCCCGTACCTCGCCGTGACGCTGAAGAATCTGCAGATGAACAGACCGGCTCGTACATCCAAAAATCGAACATCGACCTCTCGAGCTACACGACAAAGATTGGGGGCGTTGGGCCGTCGATGAGGAGCCGACACGAAGAGACGAACGAAGAATTGACGAGGATGACACGGGAAGGTTCGGTTGGACCGGCTATCGAGGGCGGTTTCTACGCCCAGAAGACGTACTTTGACCCGACGACGCTGGGTAGGGAGGGGTCTCCAGCTCCTCCTCCCCCTCCTCCGCCTCCCCCACCACCTGGGTACAAGCCCGCGAAACTGCCGACGGCGGGGAGGAAGACACCAGTGAATGAGGGCCGCAAGACGCCGACGTCACCGGGAGGGGCAGTCAAGGGGGCGGTGCCAATGCTGCCCGTGTCGGTTCTCGAGCAAATGTCGAATAACGTCGATCAATTCGGGGAAAGGACGGAAAGGGGGAGGTCAGCTACAGTGTCGGAACGAGTTCGTGAAGCTAACTCGAGGACACCGGTTCAGGGTGAGGGGCGGAAGACACCGATTCCGGACGGGCGAAAGACACCAAATCTTGAAGGACGAAAGACTCCTATCCACACAACCGCCAAGGCTACGGAGAATTTCTACAAACGCGAATCTTCCGTCCCACCCCAGGGCTGGCGCCCCGTATCGGCATTTGAACCGGAAGTCCGGCTGGACAATCGCTACCAAAACCGCGCCAAATCCGTCGGTGCCCAAGTCGTCAGCCGCATCGAAGATTCCCCCAACGACGAACCACAATATATCTTCCGCGCGAGACCCACGCAGCCATATGACAACATCGACCCCAGCGCCTATCTGATGGGTGGAAGCGTCTATAGACCAGTGCCGGAAGCCGAGTGGATGAGGGACCGTATAAACCAGAGATCAATGTCCGTGTCCAGACCGGTAACACCGGCCTCAACCGCTCCATTTGAGGGGAATTATGTGAATTATACGAATGGGTATACGAGCGATGATAGCCAGAGATTCCGGAATGGGATGTATGCCAGGGAGAACACAACGTTTAGCGACTATCAACAAGGACCGAATGTAAGAGATGGAGGGCGAGAAAGAGAGAGAGAGAGATAGAGAATGAGAGAGAGACACAGACAGAGAGAGAGAGAGAGAGAGACACAGACAGAGAGAGAGAGAGAGAGAGACTGAGAGAGAGAGAGAGAGAGAGAGAGAGAGAGAGAGAGAGAGAGAGAGAGAGAGAGAGAGAGGAAGAGATAAATCGTGGTCTGAACTGTTAGCGGGTGGATGTTTAGCAGGAGGAACACAAATTTTTCAATGTGAGCCCGTACCGCCCTATGGCGAAATATAAATATGTTTACAGTATTTTCTCCAGTTTTTAGATCGAAAAACCTTAGTTCAAAAACCCCAAAAAACAATTTTTTAAAAAAATCAGAATGAAAAATTTTGGCCAAAACGTATGAAAAATGACTAAAAAAGGTCCATCAATTTTCAAAATTTTAAAAAAATTTATTTAGTTTCCAGCAGTTGAAAACTATAAAAACACCATAAAACAACATTGCATATTATCACACAGGAAAAAAGACAAAAATTAGTTCTCCCTCTTGCCAAAAGCCCTCCCCCGCTAAGAGTTCAGTACCTAAATAGTCAAAAGCTCCCTTCAAAACTTAAACATAAAATCTCTAGGTGAACAACCGCATCCGTGCCTGGCCCCCACCCTCCAACGTGACCCCGATGGACATTCAGAAGGACTACTGGCTAAATCAGGACAACACAACCACCCACTACGACCATAATGGCGATCTCGTAACCACCCGTGTCAAAAGTAACCCAGAAAAACCATTCGTTACCCTCCTAGGAGTCGCCGAAAAGACCGTCGAAGACAATTGGAATTGGCGGGACGAGAATGGGAGGGTAGATTATTTTAAAATACTTTAAATTACCGATCCAGCGAATCAATAGCCATCACTTTAGTTGATCGACTCAAAATCCGAGCGATCGTGGCGCGGCGATATGGACGAGCTGAAAAATGATGGCCCCGGCGCGGGCAGTCATTTCACCAGGACCGTCGAGGTACTGGACTTTTAGCGGGGGGGGGGGGCGGGCGTTCAGCAAGGGGAAATAAATTTCCCAGCAATTATTCACAGCTTTTAGATATAAAAAACTCATAAAAATACCCAGGAACCTTTCGAAAATTGTTTAGTTTTTGGCCAAAAATGTGTGAAAAATGAAAAATGACCAACAAACGGTCAAAATTTTCGAATTTTCAATGTTTAAAAAATTTCTATAACTTTCTAGCAATCCGAAAGTACTAAAAACATTACAAAAACACATTATTTATTATCAACCAGTAGGTATAGACGGAAAAAAAAAACAAAAATTTGTTTTCCTTCTCAGTTGGCCATATACTTTTGTGTCACCAAGATTTCGCACATCCGTGTCACTGTACCAAAAGTTGTAAGTGACACGGGAAGCGCACGAATGTACGCCCCCTGGTGACACATGGGTGTGGGCCCGGTGTCACCAGGGTGTGGGTTCGGTATCACCAGGGTGTGGGCTTGGTGTCACCATGGTTTTACATAATAATTGGCTTAGGTTTTCCAGTATATTCCCGTAATAGGAAATATACTGGAATTTATATATAAACTATGAAATTACGTAAACTACTCGTTTAAAATGTTTTATTATAATATACCAGTCCCTAATAAGTCCTACGGGGAATAACTTTGTGAAAATTACATCTTTAGAGCAAAACTTTGCCAAAAAAAAGGAAAAAAAACATACCTTAGAGCTCCATTCGCTCTGAAACTTTACCTGTAACATTTCCTTGTTATCTTCGCCATAGCTTTACCAAGCAGCAATATCGAACTCCATGATCACGCAATGATGGCCATGTCTAAATATAACTTAGACTCATTCGTTACCAATTCATTACTTAAAATAAGATTATATACGATAATCAATGGTACTGTTCTATTTCGCCCAGGGAAATAATCGCTATGATGATTTCTGGCGTTACTTTACGTCATTTTGAGCTAAAATAAAAAACTCTTGATATTTTTCGACGCTACATTAACAGGCGCCTACAAAATGACGAAAATTAGCTTCCCAAATAAGTTTTAAGACAGTAGTTTTATTTGTTTCTAAATTTTGCTATAAAAAAAGATATTTTGACGCGCAATTCAAAAATTTAGCTTTTTTTCGATAAGTTATCAAATGGCATCAAAAGAACTTGGAAAAACGTAGCGTACGTAACGGAAAAAAGTAAAACGTAGCCTGATATTCCGAGCGAATTTTTTGCTCCCTGCAAAATAGAACAGTACCAGATTAATGAATAAGGTTTTGTAAAACCAGACGCTGATTTATTTTGATTTTAGGCGTGGTGCCTTTTCATCCGGCGCAAGTGTTTTTGCCCTTAATAAACAAAAAAATGGCGAACTTTTGTTAACCAATCTCGCAATAGTTTCAGTTTCCTAAAGGGTTCAAAACACAAAACCATAAATGGGTCAAAAAACGCGAACCTTTAGAGTGTGATTCATCGCCCAATTCGCTTTCACTTTTCATTGAATGAAGAAGATCGCCCTCTGCCTAAAATTACGGATAATTTCCATTCTAAGGTAATACCAAACCCAGGAATGTAGTCGACGTCATCAGCGACGCCACATCAGAAGAAGCTCGTCTAAAATAAAACGTCAAAATATTGTGAAAGTAGGGATTTAATGCGGCCTTTTAGCGGGGCAGCAAGTTAAATTTTCTTAAGTTGCGAAGAGCCGTCAATTGAATCATATTGTAGACTGCAAAGGTTGGGAAAAGTTTACTTTTTTATTAAAAATGTAGCAAAAGTGACAAAAACAGGCTCAAAACGGCAGTTTTTTAAAATAATCAAATTTTGTGATGAAAAACTAGCAGCGCGGTAAACTATAGACTATAGAAGCCAAGCGAACTAGCACTTAAAGTGTTAAAACCCATACTTTTCAAAGACAGCATAATTCCGCGTTACAGCTCCAACATCAGCCATCGACGTCGATAGCGTGCGCACAGATCAACCTTAATTCCAGATCATAAACACAAGGAAAAGCTAATACCAAGCTACCCAAGATGTACAGAGGTATATGCGCCGAGCAACGTTGTCCCAGCGTGCCATCTAAACTGAATTTGTGAAAAAGTGTACCAAAGACAGGAATTACCGGGCTACCAAAACACCCATAGAGCACCGTCATCGTGTAAATCAGCCCATCGGAAATTCGACGCTGATCCTTGCTGAACACCTAAAAAAGGCTCAAAAGACAAAGAGAAACATACAGGCAGCACTAGCATCGTGAAGCCATCCATTCCGGGCAAGCACAAAACTGAAAAGGGAAGATAACAGAAGTTTTATAGCAGAGAATTCAACGAAACCTTCTAATTTGACAAACTGCAGCGCCCGTGGCTTTGTCACTGACATTGAAACAAAGTAAACGAAGTGCGGAAGCCAAAACCGGAGAAACTAAACACAAACCTCGCCAAAGAAGCCATCTCCGGACGTAATTCTGGTCTTCAATCATCCAGGAGCAGCATTCGAGCTGCGAAGGTTACCTAGAAACAAATAAGTATCACAAAAACACCAAACACGCACCTTTTACCATCGAATCCGGCGCCTTCGGGAGTGGTTTTCTAAACAAATATCGCCTAAACCTCGCAATATACATTAATATCAAAGATATCAAGGTTTTAACCTTGTAAACTACAAAGTTTTATCATATTTATTGTTTCAACGTTGAAAACTTAGAAAATTTGAGCCAGCCGATGCATTTTCAAATGCGAAGGGCGCACGTGGTAGCAGTGGACTGAGTAGTGTCGCGTACCTAGCCGTACCAATGTGTCACCAAACATCAAAAACTATGGAGCGGCCCTTAAAAAAGCTTGCTATACGCTATTTTACGTTAATAATAATATTTTATCCTATAAACATATAATTCGATTTATTTACTTTCTCATGATATTAAGGATCATTTTACCCAGCTATCAGTTTTGGCAGTATTGATAGTAACAGGTTGATTTCAGCGTATGTATTTATATACAAACGCCGCCATGTAATAAAAATTAAAAATAAAATTTCAACCAAACCTAAAATTTTCGAAATTTTCCGAGGCTTTAGATGTATATTTAATTGAAATACTCGGAATTGATCGACTCGGTTCTTTACAAAAATTCAACTTATTTTGTTTATAGCGATTTCATAGTGTTTCTATGCTTAAAATAATTAAAATAAATATATTTTATTTAATTACAAATCGAGGCAATCTCCAGCCACACTATGGTGACACCGGGCCCACACCCTGGTGTCACCATGATTTTGTACGATTGTGCCACGGACCCTGAAACAGCTGTGACACTGACCCTGTACTATGGCGTCACCGAGATTTCACACCATGGTGTCACCAACACTCGTAGAATGGTGACACCGAAAAAGTGGCCTGGTGACACGAGACTTGGTCCTCACGATGGTGATACCAGACTTGACACCAGTGTGTCACGGAGAATTCATACCATTGTGTCACCAACCCTTCATCCATGGTGACACGAAGCCCAAAACCATTGTGTCACCAAAAATCGGCGGCTCACCAATGTGACACCAGAAAGTCTCGTGACACGAAAGTATCTGGCCAACTGAGTTGCTGCTGAAATACTTTAATACAACCCCTAGATGCTCCCCAACAAAGATATCCGCTTCCAAGACACCAACCGGCAATACAACAATAATTTTATGGTCGAGGTATGGATTCTATTTTGGTTGGATATATCAATTTTTCTCACTTCCAGAGCATCGTCCGCAACTACTGATCGCCTCCCCCCACCCCAAACCCGAGTGGCTCAACCTTTTGCAGCAATTCACTTCCCAATTCTTTGTTCTTGGTTATAATCGTTTCATTTTTATAATTGTTTATTTTATTCCCCCATTCTTGTATCGGCCTTTCTGGAGCTTGATTTTCTGGGTGCTAGTCAGCTTTAGCGAATTGATTTGGCTTGATAAATACATTTTTATTGACGCCTTGAAAATGCAAAGTGATGTATAGGTTACGGATTGCCATTACTATTATTTTTTCCGGCGGCATCAATAATTGCGGTGGATTTTGCGCGACCTGGACTGGGGGCTACGCGATGGAATTCGGGGGACAGACCGGCGAGTGAGCGGGGATTTGGGGAGGGCGCAGACAGATCGCAGCCTTTTTGTCTTGCATTTTGGCCAATATTGTGTAATTCGTTGCTTTTATAACAATTTAGATCCTCTAAAAACTTCAAAAACTTGCAGATGTTCTGAATAAATTGTGACGTTTTAATCTCACTAAAATTTTCTCCTCTGGTTGTAATGTGATAATCTTATTAAGATTTCTATTCCAGGAGCCACGATGAAGCTCCTCGGACGATTACCACACAAAGGGGAGCTTGGGTAGGCTTATAAACCTTTATAATAACTTTTCTTAAGATGGGTAACGCTGATCCCGGAAGAAGCTGAAGATATGTGGCACCTATACAATTTGATTCGCGTCGGCGACTCTGTTCAGAGCAAAACAATGCGCAAGGTACCCCTAAAAATGTAACTAATCTTTTTTAATCTTTTTTTAGGTGGTCAGCGAATCGAACACCGGTTCGACGATGGCGCAACGTGTGATCTTGAGGCTCACCATTGCAATTGAGACGATAGACTATGATCCGGGAGAGTCGGCCTTGCACTTGAAGGTTTGTAAAACCATCGTAAACCTTTATTCTTTTTAGGGCAAAAATTTGGAAGAGAATGAGCAAGTGAAACTGGGGCAATATCACACCCTCGACCTGGAGCCGGGCAGAAAATTCAAATTGACAAAGGACGAATGGGACCTCATGGATATCGGTAAGATTGGGCATATTAGTTTTGGCTACGGTTTACTTTACCCCCCCGAAGCCGGAAGTTTTTGGCTATAGCTTTTTTATTTTACATTATTGTAGGCTCAAATTAAAACTCTTAGTATATTTTTCGACGCTCTATCGAATGGCGTTGCAAAAATCCCGACAAAATAAGCGAAAATACCGACAACTTTGAGACCCTTCGGCTGTGGGGGGTAAAGTAAACTCTTACCTTACAAGGGAACCACAAGTTGTCACGGTGGAATTTCGAAAAACGCTCGCGGCTACCCCTAGGTTTTCGACTATGGCGATTCCAACGCGCTAGTCAGAATTAGCTAAATCGACCTGTGGACAGAGATACAGCACTTCCGGAAAATGGTCAATTTACATTCGGAGGAATTAGCATTCACCTCAGGGTTTATGAGGGCTTCCCGTCTCAGAAGAATCACCGGTTGAATGACCGGGTGGTAAGCGGCTAGCTTGTTAGAATACTGACCACGGTTCGAATCCGTTCACGACTTTTTTGTTTTGCTTTTGGACGGAACCTTGAGCAAAACTACAAGCTTCTTAAAAGCTACTCGTTCGTTTGAAAGGGGCTGTCGCATGAAAGATACAATTTCAAAACGTTTTTGCAGGAATCGGCGTCATCAGAAACGAATAAAAGCTTTACTATGTGAAAAAAATTCGAAACTTCCGTCCAAAAAGCAAAATAAAAAAGTCGTGAACGGATTCGAACCGTGGTCAGTATTCTAACAAGCTAGCCGCTTACCACCCGGTCATTCAACCGGTGATTCTTCTGAGATGGGAAGCCCTCATAAACCCTGAAGTGAATGCTAATTCCTCCGAATGTAAATTGACCATTTTCCGGAAGTGCTGTATCTCTGTCCACAGGTCGATTTAGCTAATTCTGACTAGCGCGTTGGAATCGCCATAGTCGAAAACCTAGGGGTAGCCGCAAGCGTTTTTCGAAATTCCACCGTGCCAACTTGTGGTTCCCTTGTTAGTTTTTATCTCTGTTTCTAGAGCGACTACAAGAAGCTCTGGATCCGGCCACACAAGCTGATGTCGCGGCGGTTGTACTCCACGAGGGATTGGCACATGTCTGCTTGCTCACACCAGCCATGACTCTAGTAAGAGCAAAGATTGATATGCAGGTAGGTTGATAATTTTGGTGGAGACTTCTGTTTAGATCCCTCGAAAAAGAAAAGATTACACATCACAGCACGAGAAGGGATTGAAAAGATTCTTTGACGCTTTGGCAGCTGCGTTTCTGAAATATGTTGATTTTAAGGCAAGCTTCTCCTGCATATTATTTTATTTCCAACATAGGTGATCAAATGCTGTTTAATAGCTGCTCGCGGCTTTTTGAATCAACAATTCTTGACACATCTCATCAATTTTGCTGATGGCCAAGGCAAGAAATTTACCGGGGAGCAAAAGGTAATTTCTTTCAACTTTTTTAACTTCTTTTTAGGGCAAATTTGTCTTGGCGCACGCATCTAGCGGCTTCAAGCATGCCCTGAAAGAAGTACTTGAAGACACGAAAGTTGCCGCCCGGTTGGCAGAGACAAAGGTAACGCGGATCGTCGAGCCTTGATAACATTTTGCAGGCACAAGGCGAAGTGAAAGCGTTAAAACAATTCTTCGATTTGATGGCCAACGATCCTGACCGCGCGTATTATGGCTACAAGTGCGTTTTGTGTCCATCACCTTTCAGCAATTTGTTTCCAGGCACGTACTCAAAGCAAACGAGGAAAACGCAATCGAAACATTGATGCTGGCCGACTCCCTCTTCCGGTCTCAAGATATCGCCACACGAAAAAAATACATCAAATTGGTGGAAAGTGCGCGAGAAAATGTATATTCCTTTCTATGCTTCAATTTATTGAATTTAGAATGCAACCGTCCTGATCTTCTCCTCGATGCACGTCAGCGGCGAGCAGCTAGCATTATTAACCGGTTGCGCGGCAATATTAAGGTCGAAAGTGTCTTTCTTTCCCTAATTTTTTTCCTTGCTTTAGGTTCGGCATGCCCGAGCTTGACGATGAAGCCATGAGCGACGATGAGCAAAAATAATCGGCCCGGCGATTCGATTGTGTTGTCTGTTCTCCCAACTTGTGATCACGTGCACGGGCAGAGTAATAAAAACAAATATACATTTATAGTTTTGCATACATTTGCCGGTGATTTCAATGTATTTTTGCAATTAGCATGGCAGTTGGGCCGGAAGTGGGGTCGGAAGTGCTCGATGGGGGTCGGCAATGAGATCATTTCCTACACCGACATACCTGGAACGGTTCACCGAAAAAGATGCGCGCCTTCGTCCTTTCGCTGCTGTTCGGCAGCCTCGTCTACGCCCAGCACAAGAAGTCCCAGGCCGACCGTGATCTGCAAATCGAGATGTTGAAGGATCCGGAGCTGTTCCCATTCCCCGATGTGGTTAACCAGCGTTATGGTGAGTTTGATTGTTAGAAGGCTGATTATTTTCTGGCACAAAGTCTGGTGAAATTTGGAGTTTCGATCTCATTTCTTGAGCTATTTTTTCGACTCAAATTTCATCAAGGGTAACCTTTTGATGTACGTTCCTACCCTCTATCGCAAAGAAAAGCCATTCTAGATAGGTAAACTAGACTTACCAGCTTTTTCCAGCCATGGCCTTCGACGTCCAAGCGATCGAGCACATCCTGACGGCGGAGCCCTTCTCCGAGATGGTCTCCCAGCACAAACCGTCACCTAATGTCAGCGTTTCTTCGTTGATAAGTATCCTTCCTATAGGTGGCCGACGACGAGGCGTACAAGAAGATGGTGAAGGAGGCCGTCGAGCACACCTTCGACCGGCTGCTCACCCAGTACACCAAGTTCAAGCTGAACACAGACGCACCCCAACCCCCGGTCCGCCGCAAGCGCGCTAAGGATGGCCCGACGCCTGATGAGATTGCTTACTTCAAGAGCAAGGCCTTCGAAGAGGCAATACGTTGCCTTCCTATGAAACTGTACAAGTTTAGCTCTTTGTGAAGGAGACGTCGAAGTACCTGGAGAAGGAGCTGGCCGCGCTCGACACTCCCGAGAACCGCGTCAAGCGTTTCCTGGAGTCGTACAAGCCAAGCCACATTCGCGCCAAGCGACTGGCTGCACCCCAGGACGAGGAGGAGCAGCGAAACCCTGAGGAGGATCGCGAGAATATCCTCGTTCGCCAGTTGAGGGTAAGAGTTTGCCAAGCCGGCATTGACTTTTGGTATCGGGCCCCTTTGTGCTACGAACTGTAAAGCATACCAAAATATTCGTCTTCGCCTGAGGAATATTTTAGTATACTTTACAAGCTACTATCACAATTCTTAAACGAAACTTTTTAACTCTTTCTTTCAGAACATCATTGGTGACGCTTTCGTCGACAAAATGCGCACCGAGTTGGGGCAGGCCAAGGAGCACTACGAGCGCGATGGGCTCAAGGTTGGAAGCTTTTTGAGATCGGCAATAATTTTTCAGGGCGTCCTGGACTTTGCCGTCGTGCGCCCGCTGAACCGCGAGGCTAAGGTCGTCTCCACGGATCTGCGCAAGATCCGCGACGCCTATTCTCAGCATGGCGTCAAGGTGCAAGCATAAAGTTACATCATCTCACCTTTCTCCAGGCCGCCGTGAAGATGGCGGGCGGCGCCGACTGCGGCCCCGGCACCGACTGTGGCCCGGTGATCGAGGAGGCCGAGGCCATCGTCAAGGAGTGATCTCTATCCCCCCTATCTCGCAGCCATAGCCCCCAGCATTCGCCCGGATCTCGGAGGGCTGAATAAATATTGCTGCAAAGCAAATCAAGTGCTGTGGTGCTTGAAGCGTTGCACGTCGCGAGACGGCCTACAGAAATACTGATAAAGGACTGAAGGGGGAAGAGACACAAAATGGAAGAAGCTGTGGAGAAGGAAACAAAGAATTGTCACTTTTTGGCCAGATTTCAAGTGAAATGATGGCCATAAAATTGACAACGTGGTTCAGCCTTTTCGCTCTATGACGTAAAATTGGAAAAAGTCGGCCAAGCTGTGGCTTTTCCGCGTATCTCGGCTCCCGGCTGTGCAACGTGGCTGTAAAGTATACCGAAATCCTCGCCAGAGCAAGACGAACAGTTTGGCATATTTCACACACTTGTAGGACACGGGGGAGCCGTGATACAAGAGTTGTAGGCCGGGCAGGAGATATTGCAACAAACTATGGTACCTTGACCTCGGAATCATATTTTACGTGCTTCACAGGTGCCCCCGCAAAGTTTCAAAGTGCAAACAACGACTCCGGAATCATCCCCCAAATCTCTGAACGCGGATCTGCTTCACCCGGGCCAATTGGGCCATAAAAGCAGCACACATTTTATTGCCCATTACCGCAGATAAAGCGCAGTCTGCTTTGTTCTGGACCATTTTTCAAAGTACGCCGGCTTCTGGGTGCTTTCACGAAACAAAAGCATGACCCGTTGGTTGCAACTTGTCGTGTTTGGCCTGGTCGCCGAGTTGGCACGTGCACAATGCCCCAACAACTATTTCTACGTGGCCCCGCTGCAGTCGTGCGTCTCGTTTAATACTGGAGGTAACCATACTGATTTTCGTGATATTAGTTTTACTTCTTTTCAGGCAGCACTTCTTTGTTTGCCGACGCCGAAGCGGCCTGCCAGAAAGCCGGTGGCCATCTGGCGTCGATTCACAACGTTTTCGAGAACTCGCTGGTCGCCTCGTATGCCCAGGCTCGTAGGTTTTAACTTGTAATTTCCGGTTCCGGTTCGTTAGCGGGGGAGGGGGGGATTTTTCCTATATTTCCATTTGCCCCTTGCCTTTCTCGATTTCCGTAGGCGCCGAAAACTTAAATTTAAAAGCAATTTTAATAACAAGTTGCGGCCGTTTGAGACAAGGAACTTTCATTAAAAAACCCCAAAATTCGAAAAAATTAGACTTTGCGGCCAAAAATGTATGAAAAAATGGTTTAAAAAATGAAACTTTTAGGTTTTTAAAAATATTTGATAACAGTTTTCCGTAAAAAAGGAGAACGTAATCCCTTGGAGATTGATGGTTTGTAGGCATCACCACGAAAAAATTCTTCATCGGGCTGTCGCGGAAGACGCAGCAGACGCAAGATTGGGGCTGGACGGACGCGTCGATTTACGATTACCGGGCATGGTCGAATGGGACGAGTAAGCGGAAATTACCTCAATGTTGATACTTCTTTTAAAATAGTGATTGTAAGTTGTTTCATTTTTCATTCAGCCCCTGCTGGCAACGGGCTGTGCGCCGTGGTGGACGTGACGACGCAGCAATGGGAGGATGTCGACTGTACTCAGGAGTACGACTATGCCTGCTCCGTCAAGTTTGGCAAGTAATTTTTGGGGCGCTGAATCCGTTAAAAGATCCGTTATAGATAATTAATGCTTTTTTAGGCTGCCCCGACGGCTGGCAGTTGTTCAACTACACGAACACGTGTTATTACGTAGGTTATGAAGCGAAGGCTGTCATTTCAATTAATTTTTGCTATTTCAAGCTCCAGTATAGTGTTTTCAAGGTTTATACATTATTTGAAGGTTTTATATTGTGAAAGTCATTTTAGAAAGGCAACGGCGGCAACTTCCAAGATTCACAAAAATATTGCCAAGGTGTACGCAACGGAAACCTGGCCTCCATCCACTCGATCGAGGAGCAGAACTTTATCTCTAGTTTGTAGTTTCACCACACCGCTTTCACTTTCGCTTTAGGCTTGGTCTGGTCACGATGCGGCACCGGGCCTCATGGTCAGAAGCTGGGCGAGACGCTGCTGGGCGGTATCTACAATAAGGGCCGTGGGTTATAACAAACCTCAATTAATAATATTTTTATTGTATGATTATGCTGTATTTTTTGTAGAGGGCGTCCAGTGGACGGACGGCACTCCGGAAGACTTCACCTACGGCTGGTGCGAGCATACTGGGGCTCATGGTAGCACTGTTGTGGTTAGTGTTTAAAGGCTTTATTTTTTCTCTTTCGCAGTAGCTATATTTAACGTAACAAAACTACCCTTAAAACAGAAAATATTAATAATTTGAGATTTTTTAAAAATTAGCACTTTTGTCGAAAAATCCATATTTTTGTATTTTTGCTCAAATTTTTGTAGAATCTTCATGTTTTGGACGAGAGAACCTACTTTTAATAAGAAAACTGCCAAAACTCTCTCGATCGTAAGCTAGCAGAGATTTTTTGGGAACGATTCTGAAACTCAGGTTATGACAAAAACTTTCAGATGGCCGCCCACCAGCGGGGCAGCGGCTGCGGCGCGTGCCACGACTCATCCTGGTTTATCTCGAGTAGGTTGAAAAGTGGAAATCAAAGAAAGTCACGATTTTTGAATTAATTAAAGATATAATTCTTATCAAATTCCAGACGAACCCCCAACGAACAACGGGCACAACTACGAGGCGTTCGTCTGCAAGACGGATCCTTACGGACACTAAAAAAATTTTTGCTATTTTGTAGTGAATAAAGTATCGAAAAATTGGCTGTGAAATCGCCGTTACTCGCTTAATGCATGCATGGAGCGCTCCGTTTTGAATAGAAAATTGCAGTTTCTAAAGTTAAACTAAACAATCAGAAAATTAAAAAGCTAAAGCGCCTGTAATTTTTCTATTCCCATTTTTCGGTAGCCCCCACCTTTGAAATGGTAGAGAAGAAACAGAAGCCCGGGGGTGATATCAGTTTTGAAGTCGTGGCACCGGGTAATGGGGAGGGAAGAGCTGATAATTTACGAGGTGAGGGCGTGGAGTGGCCCTGTCTTTTGGCTGTTGGAGACACCGCACCACGTCGACGGCCATGAAACACCTTCTACTGCTTCTCGTCGCAGGTATCGATTTTTAGGGGGTTGAATTTGTTAAAATCGACGCGCAGGTATGTTTTGAAGGGTTCTAGAAAAGGTGATATCCAGGGCGCGTCGTTTAAATCCGTCTTAAAGCGCTAAATGCCGTTTTTCCGTAAGCAAAATCCATAAATACAACGTGAAAAACTTGGCTTCAAAAGGTAAAAAAAAACTAAAAAAACAGCAAAATTAAAAAAAGCTCAATAAAAACCAAAAATTTCGTGAACCGACGGTCCTCAGTGAAAGCACAAATTCGGGGTCTCCAGGGGAGCTAGGCGTAGGCCATTCCTGGAAACGCCACAAACCAACTTACACGCTAGTCGTAGCGCGTTTTCAGCTTAAATTTTACGATTTAGTCACCTTTCATCCATAAAAACAATAAAACACTTTAGCCGCGCCGCTATGCTTGGCCTTGCCCGAGTCGATCAGCTTCGTCGAGCCGGCCGACCTGCCCGAGGAGTTCATGCAGGCGCATCTCGGCTCAAACGACGCCCAAGTGTGCATTGACAAGCAGCTGCTCCAGTGCCAGAACAGCTTCAACTGGTATCTGAACATTACGAGTGATGCCGACTGGACCAACCCCACCGTTCTCATCCACCTCATTCAGGGCTTCTACGAGCAGGTCAGGCTTCAAGATCGGTTTAAAAGGCGTTATTTTAGGTGCTTTTGCATTAACGGGGGGTTGGAGAGAATCGACTTTGCCAAAATTCCTCGGGGGTAGTGTTTCTAAGCGATTTTTTTACTAAGTCAACGTTCGACTAGTACGGCCCCTACCCCCCGTTATTGCAAAAGCTCCGAAAATTGATTTAATTGTTAGTAAAGCCTATTAAAAAGCTTTTTTTTACTAGGTGTAAAGCCTGGGTTCGACCCCCGACCGGCGTAATTTTTTGAGTTTCCCGACAAGCCTTCCATTTCAAAGGTATTAGTAAAATAACACCATAAATATAAATTCAAATAATCAAGTATTTATGGAATTATAATAGTTTAATCGACCGTTTTCAGGGCATCTCCGGCATTCTGAAGCTCTGCACGGCGCGCACCTATTTCCAGCAGTGCCTTGGCTCGTCTTACATGTAGGTTTTAAGGCTGTCGGAGATTTAAAATGACAAGATTGAATGTATACAAATAGATCAAAATATGGCTTTTTTGAGAAGAGGTTTAGGGCGTGTATGCAGCCGACAAAGTTCCTCTCCAAGGGGCAGAGCCTGCGCGACGCGTGGCGGTACATTGGCGTGATGCGAGAGCTCGAATTCCAGTGCAATGGCGGATTTTTGCGTGGGTTTTTGGGGGGGGGGGGGGGGGGGGGGGGGGGGGGGGGAGAGTGAGAGAGCGAGAGTGAGAGATAGAGAGAGGAGAGAGCGAGAGAGAGGGCGAGGGAGAAACCAACTTTTCCAGAAACCACTCAAAACTGGGACTGTATTCTGCAGATCCAGAAGTCCCAAAAAGATATGTACGCCCAATGCCAGGACGCTTTCCACAACGCCACGCAGAAGGTGGGGGAGATCATTTTGAATCTTTTAATTGATAATAATGGATTTAATATTTATAGTTAATTTATAGTTTATAGATAAAAATATTTATAATTATAATGCGTTAATGAGTTGTTAAATTATTTTCTGTTATTCAGGTCTGTATTTTCTGTTTTAGGACCCAACCATCGTCTGCCAGGCTTCCGTCGATTTCTCCAACTGTGCCCGAGCACCCTACTTTGTTGGTTGCGGAGCTGATGTGGGTGTTTTTGTGGTTGGATGTCGTGTACATAAGAAAGTGTGAAAATTCAGCACCTCGATAGGACACAAAATACACACCGAACTTTTCAGGCCGGTTGGTGGGAGTGCGAGCGGGTGCGAATCTCGCTGAACCTCGACCAGTCGTGCCCGGAGAATCTGTGCGCGTTCAACCATTTCCTGGCGCCGCAGGTGAGGTTTTTCTTGGGTTTTTAGATGTAGTTTAAATTTAAAGTTAGAGGGGATGAAAAGAAAAATGAAGCTCATGCCAAGCTCATAAGCTAACCTTTTTCTAGCCCTCCTCGCTGAACAAGTACCTGTCGCATGGCGAAAAGCTGGCCCAGACGCAGCATGTTTCTCAAAGTAGGTCGATTTCGCATGCTTTCTCTCTCTCTCTCTCTCTCTCTCTGCTTCTCTCGCTCGCGCTCTTTCTCGCATTCTCTCCCACTCTCTTGATTGTTGGATTTTTCAGACAAACTCGACTTCCTCGCCGACCGTGTCCGCCGCATCGAGAAGCGCATGACCAACAACTAACCGTTTCGATTCTCTTTTACCGGACTATTTTGCGGATAAATTTTAATGCTATTTACGGTGTAATCTCTGAGTCACGAAAAATCAGGAAAGCACTTTTCTGGTCCCTTCCTTCGCATTGAAACGCTTGGACAGGGTGGCTGGCTGGGAGAAAAGAGTCATAACGAGGTGGCACCGTCCCATTTAATGGCTCTCCTTTATTGGAGCGGTGATAGTGTGTCGGTGTCCAGCTATGCCAACCCATCACCCATCCACAAAATCACCGTTTTACTATTGATTTTGATAGTATTTACAAGCCGTCAATGGGTGTATTTTGTAGTCCTGGAATTATAAGGTTTTGAAGTGGACTTGCTACGGCCTTTAGCCAATTTCATGCCGGAATTCTTAAACTCCCGACGGTAAAAATACCGACAGCCAAAATCCCGACAGATAAAATCCCGAAAGCCAAAATCCCGACGGATAAATCCCGCACATTCTGGACGGTTTTTTGAAGGTGAGTTTAATTTTAACGGCCCTTTTTGAACAGCTATTTTGCAGATCGGGATTTTGGCTTGTCAAAATAATCTCCTGTCGGTATTTTCCCGTTTTCCCTATCATTTCTTGAGTCGAAAATGTTTAGAAAAAAAATTATTTTTCTCGTATACGGCAAATTGTATTTTGTTTTTTTCCTTGTTCCTTCCTTTCATGTTTGATCGATTTATTTATATCCTGTAGTCAAACCTAAATGATGATAATTTTAGGGCTATGCGTAACCTGGTGGTATTGGCCCTTTTGGCCACGCTGACCAGCGGGCTGCTGAACACGGATATTCTGAACCTCAGTGATGAAGTCATCAGCTTTGTAAGGATTCAAACTTAGCTATAGAAAGAGAGAGAGAGAGAGAGAGAGAGAGAGAGAAAGAGCGAGAGAGAAAGAAAGTAAGAGTAAGTGAAGCTTCAATACTGAGCTTCAGATTGCCGACTATTCGCGGCAAATGCCGGAAGTCGCCGCAAAGGCCGAAAAGGGGAGCAATGACGCGATTGTTGTGACGAATTGCATCGATACTACCTGGAATAGTTGTCAGGTATCGGAGGCGTTGGGCTTAAGCTGAGGCTTAGGCTTGGTGTTGGCTTCGTTTTAGCTTGACTTCGCCGTATGCCTGGCGTTGACTTTGTTTCTATATTTGAACCCAATCGAATCCGTTTAGTACGCTTTCAACCAACGGCTCGGAATCGACACAAGCCTCACCTGGCGTCAGGCCGATCAGATCGCTGTGGTATGGAATTTTGGAATTGAGAGAGAGAGAAAAAAAAAAAAAAAAAAAAAAAAAGAGAGAGAGAAAGCGATTGCTGAAGATGTGCATTTTTTAGGGAATTAACGCTGTCCTCTCCACCAATATCTCGTCCGTCTTCACCGTCTGCAACGACAACATGGCTTTCTACCAATGCCTCGGCACCTCCTACTATTCTTGCATGGATCTCTACCGTATCATTCGGACAAAGGATGCCGATTTTAGGGAGGTGAGAGAGAAAGAGAGAGAGAAGAGAGAGAGCGAGCGAGCGCGAGAGAAATAGAGAGACGAATCAAATATTCCAGGCTTACACCTACGTCCAGATCTACCACCAGCTCCAATTCATGTGCAACGCTGGATTTGAGGGTGGGTGTTTTAAGAACCCAAAATACCGTAACTCTGCCGATTTTCAGAAGTGCTAAAGGACTACTACTGCATGACCAGCCTCAAGACGACGCAGGGAATTCAGGCATGCGCCAGCCAGTTCAACTCGACCGTCGTCCAGGACCCCAGCAAGCTGTGCACGTGAGTGAAAGAGAGAGAGGGAGAGAGAGAGAGGGAGAGAGCGATAGAGAGAGAGAGAGAGAGAGAGAGAACAAGAGAGACAAGAGTTACGGGTGACTTATGGGAGAGGAGGGCGGGAGAAAATGGCAAATACCTGGAGGTCACAGAGCGAGCGAAAGGAGAGAGAGAGAGTGAAGAGAGAGAAAAAGAGAAAAAGAGAGAACATTTTAGAGCTGTTGATCAAGCCGACTCGTGCCTGAATGCTGCTTACCAAGCTGGGTGCCAGACGGCTGAGGTTAGTCTATTAATGCGACCGGTTTTTAAAACCACTTCCATGGTACCTTTAGCTGTTTTTTTGTTCGGTTTTCAATGTATTTTTACGCACGATTCAATAACTCTTTTTTAGTCGGGCTGGTGGGGTTGTGAGGAGTTCCGCGTGGCCTTCACCCAGACCTGCTACGGCCTCCGCTGCATGGTCAACCACGGATGAGAGAATTGATCGAAAACCTAATTTTCCGTTCTCCCCCTCTTTCTCTCTCGAACTCCATCTCTCTTGCTCGTTTTTTATGCCCCGAATAAAGTCGCGTCACCAGGAGATGTGGAGCACAGTTCTGGCCCTGGAATCGGGCGGGAAGGGTGTGGCTGGGCGGGATGAGATAAGCTTCCGAAGCGTGGAAATTACCAAAGTCACCGTAGCAAGATCTACACTGATTTTTTGGCGAAAGGGGCGAAGAATAATGAGGAACACTTATGCTTAGGCTGATGCTTGGGCTTAGGTTAGGTTTGGCCTAGGCTTAGGCGGTTTAGCCTTGGGCAAGTTTAGGCTTAGGCTTAGGCTTAAACGGCTTAGGCTTAGACTTAAGTCTACTTCGAAATCTGCCAACTACCGTACCCCAAAAATCGTGTCCTGCCATGTAATTGCCGATCGATCCCGTCGCCGATTTTCGGGAGTAGTACTCTGCTGGGAATGGGCCATCTGTGGATACGGGAGCCCCCACCGTGGCATTTCAGGGGCGATAAGCCCGCGGGGGAAGGGGAAGGGGGCTCCTGTTGACGTGTCGGAGGCTCTAATTTATTACCCGCTATTAATTCGTGGGCGCATTTTTGGGCAGAAGATCGTCATGTTGTTGCTGATCGTTGCGTCGGCATTGTTGGGTGAGGGTTTCGAGTTGTACGTGTTATTAAATGGGCTGTTGAAAATCTTTAAAATGCATAAGATAAATAAAGATGCAGCATCTACTCTCTTACGGGCTGTCAGTAGCTCTGGCTCACTCTCATGCTCCCCCACTTTCTCTGGCTCTATCGCTCTTTATCACTGTGTCTCTGTCTCTCTATCTCTCTCACTCTCTCTCTCTCTCCTCTCTTGCTCTCTAGCAGGGCAGGATCGAAGACAGCCTACCGTTAACACGTAAAAGAAACCACACCCGATACTACCGTAACCACCATCAAATTCCCCTTTTCCAGCCAGCTCCACAGTACTTGGCCAAAAATGTGACCCGATCCGCTTCGACCAATGCCAGCAGACCTTTGCCCGCATTATCGGCGCCGACCCCAGCGTCGACTGGAAGAAGCCCCGGGATCTGCATGCCGCCATTCAGGTACGGTACGGTAGGGTAGGTTAAAAATCCGGGTCGCTTTTTAGAACGTCTACATCAATGGGCTCGACGCGACGACACCTGGGATCGTTTCGGTTTGCAAGTGAGTTTGGCTTTTGAATTCGCTAAGTATCTCTGCTAGTGTTCCACTATTATGGCGTTTTTACACCCAGCAATTCGGAGATCTTAGGCTTAATCTGAGGCTTAGTCTTAGTCATATGCTTAGCTTCAAAAACCATGCTTAACCTCACATATTACCTCTCTGCTATTTTTTGCCCCAATTACCCTAGACTTACGGTATTTTCAGCGCCTACAATGCGTTCATGCAATGCATCCGCGATGACGGCTACAGCTATCAGGACTGCTTCAGCGCTAATTGGTGGGAGATTTGAAGGAATTTGCGCATTAATAGTTTTATTGGAGCTTCATAGAATTTTATTTTAAGGCTTCTCTCGCTGAACTCGTCGATCGTGACCCCGTACGACACGTATTACTACGTGGGCGTGATGGTTCAGGTGTCGTACCAGTGCTCCGCCGGATTCTATCGTAGGTTTTAAGGGAAGGCTAGCAGGGTTTCTTTAGGAAACGTTAAAAACCAAACTCTGAAAAACTGATTAGCAAGATAGAAGAGAGAGAGAGCGAAAGAGAGAAGCGAAAGAGAGAGAGAGAGAGAGCAAAGAGAGAGAGAGAGAGAGAGAGAGAGAGAGCTTTTGGTAGAGTAGGCTAGCAGAGATTCTGGGGATTTTCCGTTAAACCTAAAAATTCACAGTTTAAATTAAATAAGGGCAAGCTAGCAGCGCTTCTTTTGGAAGACATCCATTAATGCGCAAATTTCCAGCGGCCGTCGACAATTGGCCGTGCATCCAGTCGGTCTACAAGAACCAGGGCGCCGCCCTCGACAAGTGCCTCCAAACTTTCTACATCAACGCTCAGGGAAATCCATACAGGGCACGTTGACTTCACCGTTCTTTTAAAAGATATGTACCATACTGTACTGCCCCGTAGCCATCATTTCTCCTGTAAGGAATTTTTTTTTACGGTTTTAAACTTTTTAACTCAGGAACTAGGCTAATTACGAAATTTAGGCGTGCGAATTCTTCAAGGACGGCATGGAGTGCTATCAGGGAACATTCCGCCACTGCCGCGACGAGGTCATGTAAGTGGTTGTGTAACGTACTAGCGCTCTTGAAGTGGAAAAATGTAGATAACTAAACTAGAAAAAAATATGAATCGGTGCTATTTAGGTACTGGGGCTGCGAGTCGTTCCGTAGCCAAGCGCACATCGGATACGAGGGATGCAAGCAGAGCTGTCAAGGTAATTGTTAGCTCTCTCTCTCTCTCTAGCTAAATTTAGGCTTAGATTTTTCTCTTGCTCCCTCGCTCCCTAACCTTCAATCGATCTCCCTTTTCCAGTCAACCAATTCTTCGGCGACGTCCAGCCCGAGCAGAAGATGAAGCTCGTCGACTCGGAGCGCTACACAAAGAACGCCGCCGAGCAGATCGAAGCCTAGAACCTTCTCCTCAAATCGATACTTTCCCAATAAATCTTTCCAAATGTGGGCGTGGCCCTAAAGTGAGCGTGAGATGAAATCTTCTTTCCAACTCTTTGCCCTAAATTTCACTATGATGTTTTCCGGTCCAGATTTCAGCCATCGCCCTTAAAAAGCGTGGGCAATAAAAAAGGAGGGCGAGGCGCTGATTGGAGAGAGAGAGAGAGACAGAGAGAGAGACAGAGAGAAGGAGAGTTAACGATTTTCTAGGTCCCAAAACGGGTGGGACACGTTTAATGGGCCATTGATAAGGGAGGGGAAAGATGGACGAGTGGTGAGGTGAGAGGTGTACGCACGACGACTATCGACGGACGGCGGTGACGATGCGTGCTGTGGTGTTGCTCGTAGCCATTGGTGGGTTTTAAAGGGGCCGGCAAGGCGATACGGGGATTCTTGTAAGTAGCGGAAACGCGTAGGTAAAGTAGCTTACCGTAGCGCTTATCGTGGCGCGCAGGAATTACCGTTACCGTTTGAACTTTCGAAGTCCATCGATTTTGGCTTTTCCTACTCCCTTAAATTAGTAGTTTTTGGTTGGTATCGCCCCCTTAAAAGCTTATAATTATTTTTTCAGCGGCGGCCGCTTGGGCTCAGAATACATGCTACACGACTGACCTAAATGCGGCCACAGCGACCCTGGCCAGCAAGATTGGACTCCAGAATACTACGGTAATGGTTATCGATTCATTTTAACCTTCATTTATATTTTTAAAAGAATATCTTATACAAGACATTTTTATTTTAGGGTATCTGGAAAGACTACACGATTTTCAACTACTTCCTGCTCGACCAGTGGGGACAGAACCCGGGCAGCACCCAGAATATCCTCAACGTTTGCAAGTAGGTCGGGGAGCGGAAGGCTAGCAGGGATTTTTTTGAGATTTGCGAGCGAGTGGTTAAGGGCCAGCTAGCAGAGAACATTTGGGCAATCGGGGCTAATTCGCAGCAAGCTAGCAGAAACAATTGGCTAATTCAGTGCACTCGACACTTTCTACGGTATGCTCTACCCGAAGGGCAACTACTTCTGCTTCTCCCTCCAGAATCTGCTCCAGCAGGTTGTCTATAGTATCCCTCCGAAACTGGAATTTTCAGGGAGCTGACCCGACATCGGCCTTCAGCATCGACGGCACCTTCGCCCAATATGCGTTCAACTGCGGACCCGGGCTAACCAGTTTGTGCTAAGAATTCCAGAATGATCCCTGCTAGCCTGTCTTAAGCATGAAAAATTTTAGCGTTGCTTCACGAGAATCTGCCGTGCGTACAGCGAACGATTGCTGGGTATCAGAATACGCTGAAGGCATGCTTGACCTCGTTCACCAACAATGTTCTTCATGATCCCCAGAATTCTTGCACGTGAGTTTTGAAGACGAGAGAATGAGAGAGATCGAGAGAGAGAGAGAGAGAGTGATACCGAGAGAGACAGAGAGATCGCGAGAGCAGGATCGGCATATCGGACCTTTCTGATTCTTGTGCTACTCTCTCTCTCTCTCTCTTCCTCTCGCTCTGTCTCTTTCATCCCTCTCTTTTCCAGCTACCTTGGCCAATGGGAGAATTGCTTCGTGGCCCCCTTCAACACGACCGCCTGCCGTTCTGGGTCAGCTGCTGATGTGTGGTGGGCATGCGAGAGTGCCCGTAAATTCGGCCTCAACCGAGCCCTGAACTGCGGGAATACTTGTGATTGTGAGTCCATGTTTTCCATTACGTTACGTTCCAAATTCCAGACCACATGGGCCCTCCCCAGGCGGCCGAATACCAGGCCGAGCACATCAAGATGGTCGACGGGGTGGCGCACTTCAAGATTCCGGATTATTGGACGCTCGTTGATGGAGTGGTGTGTGGATTTTCTGGAGCTTAGGCATAGGCTTAGGCTTAGTCTTAGGTTTAAGCTGATGCTCCGGTTTAAGCTCCTGCTCATTATTCTAGATCTATCTTTTTCCAGGGTTTTCGCAAAACCATAAGGTCCTTTAAAATTAGCCGCGTTTCCAGAAACAACTCATCGTCGGCCCCTGGATGTCGGACTAATGGAACGTCGCGGAATTTCTATTTCTAAATGAATTGTTTCTTTTTCCCACAACGAATCACGAGAAATTACAATAACCACACATTAATGATAAAGGGAAACTAGAACTAGCTGAAAATTCCCCAAGGTTCCCTGCTCGCTTGCCCGCCATCGGTTTTATTTTCGAATGAGCACCATTTTCCAGAATACATTGTATGTTTTTCGACAATAAGAACTCGTAAATCAGCGTAGAAGGTTCTCTTCGTCTGTCTGTCGTCTCAAAAGTTCTCTGCTAGCACGCCTTGTTCTTGCTTGCAACGATTTATTCCACACCGTAATTAGTAGTGGGTCGAATGGAGTGACTTTTAGGGCGGAGAGACAAGAGGGAGCTTTGACATTTCAAATCTTCTCTTGGCCTCCGCCCTATACGGTATGGGAATCGATTTGGGGGTCAACATTTAGAGTGGAAAGGATTAGGCGCGAGCTATGTTGATTGGGGTACTGTAATCGGGGTGTAGGATATTGGACTGGAGGATTCAGAGGCCATAGAGTGGAATTTGGCTCCTTGGGATGCTTGTCTAGATCCACTTGGCGGGCGCCATCACCCAGTTTCCCGACGAGTCCTGCAAGGTACCGTATGTAAAAAGAAGCGATAGATTTAGAAATAGAGAATGAAAGCAAGAGAGAGAGAGAGAGAGAGAGAGAGAGATATTATCAGAAATAGGAAGAGCTCTACCACACCTTATCCCAATGCGCGGGGAGCAGGAACGAGGGGTTGCCGTGCTCATCGTGGCGAACAACGCTGCTGAAGTCAGTCTCCGAAGTCACGTCCTCTGAAAAAACGGTTCGGGAACGTAGTTTCATTTTTTTTATTTATGCCCAGTTGGGCCAAGAAACACTGCTAGCCTGCCTCAAGCCTTAAAATACCCACTCGGGCACGAGATCTGGTGTTGGCAGTGGCGGAACTGGGAGAAGACGTAGTTCCTCGTCATCTCGCACGAGTACCACTGGGCGTGGCCCTGGAATAAAAGAAAAATTATGGGGTTTCACAAAAAAGCGCTACCCTGTAGGCAAGGCACGGTCCGCTGGCGTAGATGGATGAGATGCCGTTGACGAGGGTTTGGCCGTAGCTGAAAAAAAATTAGTTGGGGCTGAGGATTGGGTTTAACGGAATATTGGCCACCAAAGTCTAAAACCCTTGAAAAACGCACGTGCACGCGTTGTTGACGTCGTGGGTGACGTTCAGCTCGAAGCTACGGTAGAAGTCCTTGATCTGGGCGTCATAGTTGACGGTAACGCGTTGCAGGCAGGCGGTTACGTTCGGAGCGTAGATGAGGGCTGAAAATGGCTTCTATACGACTGGTTCTCTCTCTCACCCAGTGGCTGTCTCTCTCTCTCTCTTTCTCTCTCTTTCGCTCACCATCTATCGGTCTCACACTCTCTCTCACTCTCTCGCTTTCTTTCTCTCACTCTTTCTCTCACTCTCTCTCGCTCTTTCTTTCGCTCACTATCTATCTGTCTCTCTCTCTCAACACTCTCTCTCCCTCTCTCTCTCTCTCTCCCACCCACAATTCATTCCCGGTCCACACTGGAACTGTAGCGATGACAGCATCCCATCGAAAGCATAAGCAATGATCGGTGCCCGATTCCTGGCCACCCATCCAAGGGGTCCAAGACAAGCCCCAAGGTTCCTCTGCGACAAGCATTGATAGAACAGCGACAGACCACTGTAATAAGGAGCAAATTGGAATGACTAAACCCCCGCCTCTTACTTGCACACCTTCACCAGGTTGCTCAAATCGTACGGGGCCAAGAAGCGCTGGTTGATCGTCTCGGCGAACAGGGCTGGCGACTCCCAGATGGCGTTAGGGCTGCAACATTCGAAATTTTTGGGTTCTAGAAAGCTTTTGAGTGTAGCAAATAGAGAATAAATTAATAGTGGAACTTATTTGATTTATTTTCAAGGGGATTCGGCCGATTTTTGAAGTGAAAAATGCAAAACCAACATTATTCTAGATAGTTCCGATTTTCTTTGCCTTCCCGGCACCTTTAAAATCGTCGATTAAGTTTTCTTGGGTTTTTTATTGCCTTCATGTGTCAAACTCACTCGGCTCCCCAGAACTCGCCGAGGTTGACGGTGCAGCTCTGGAAACGGACCTCGTCGCAGAGGTCGGGCACTCCGCCCTGCGCCCACAGCAGGCCAATTAGGGCTGAAAACAGGATACCATGGTGGGCAGGCTAGCAGAGAGAATTTGGGAATTGGGGTCAAGGCCTGATCATTTTTAAAGGGATTGACAAGCACGAAAGTCAACCCTTCTCAGTCGACTAGGTGTCGAACGTTAATCCATTCGCAACGAGTTTTTAACCAGGCCCAGGCTTAGGCTAGGCTTAGGCTTAGGGCCTAGGCTTAGACTTAGGTTAGGATTAGGCTTAGGCTTAGCTTGGGCTCAGCTTAAGCTTAGACCTGGGTTAGGGCCAGCTACGGGCTGCCCGACTTATTTATCCCCCTTACTTCCCAATCCCGTTAAACCGATCGATAATCACTCCACAAAACGTGTACCGCCTACCGTACCTGCAAACGCGTAGAGGCCCCTCATAATCGATCCGCTCAGCCTAAAAGAAACAGAGCGCAGCTACACTCGGCGACTATCGACGAGCTGGAAACGGTCCCCCCTCAGCCCCTCCCTCCCGTCACTTATCACCAAAACCATCAAAAATTTTAATGCCCATCCACTCGGCGACTCACACGCGTCGTTACGCATCCCGTAAAATAATAATTGGCAATCGCCGGCTGGGGTGAAACGTGGATTCACCCATCCTTTTTGGGGCCGCGAACTAGCAAATTCCAGGGTGGAAATTCACAAGGGAAGGGCAAAAATCAACATCATAATCATAATAAAATATTTATTGCACATTGATGACCAATGATATGGGGGGGAGCGTTGAGTATCTGTTTTCAGGATTGTGCTGGATTATTAGAGGCTTGAGTCGAGTTCCCAGCCATGTCTAAAAAGGGAAAAATTAAAGTTACCTATGCATTTTCTTATTCTAATTTGGCATTTTCCGGCCCTTTAGTCAAGATTTTGACGAGTTTCATCTCGTTGTTTGTACCCAAATTTATCGTTTTCTTGTTCTCCAGCTCGAGGTGAACATTTTGGTATACTCGACGCATTAATAGTCCCAAGTGGAGCCTAGAGCCCCGCTAAACCTTGCCCCCACCACCGTACCGCGGTCGATTCGGCACTGTATATCCATCAGCGTCGACACGCGAAATATATTGCATCGTTGAGGGGATGACGAGTAGACCCTCGGCTTGGCGGCGAGCTGAACAAGTCATCGTCATAATTCTAGATTTATGGCCGACCATTGGGTGGTGGGGGTGGAGGGGCCTTGCTGGTCTTGGTGGAGAAGACGAGCGGAGATGTGCTTCTTGTCGAGTCGCCGTCCGATAGGCCGCCGGCTGAGGAGACGTGGCACGACGTCGAGCCGCCGTACAGTGATCCATCTAACGTAAGGCAAAAAATACTTAAATTGTTTGTCAGGAAAAATAGTCGATAATTTACGCCGAACCCACCAGGTCGGCGTAAAATACGCTGATAGACGACACGGGCAATGACGAGGGTTTGGATAAGGAGCAGTACGAAGAGCACCGTTGAGCCAGTCACGAAAATCGGGCGTAATAGGCAGACGACGTCTTCTGGTAGGGCTCGAGATGAAGCTGAATTTGGCCATTTTCTTTCTACACCCAACTCACCCATGCTTTGTTGATCTTTTCTCGGTTCTGGGTCGCCTTCGGCATTGTAGGCGGGCGGATCGATTACCGTCAGCACGCCAGTGATCGTATTCCTATTCGGACGTTTCTTTTGTAGACGAGGTTCATCTGCAGCCGGGAGTTCGATAGAGCTTTCGGCGCTCGGCATTGGCTAAAATATAGACATCACCATTCATTTGAAAATGAGAATACCGTTGTCACCGTATCAGTCCGGAAATTCGGCTTCAACCTTCTCATCATGTTCGACAAGTCAGAGAGACTTTGCCGCTTTTTCCGCCCGTAACTTTTCAGCTCCGGATCAAGACCGTCGCATTCGACCTGAAACAGAATGTTAACGGGCGTTAGAAACCCCACCGAGGGGCAATCCTCCACGCACACGTCAATGATACAGCGCAGACGCACGCGACGTGACCCATCAAAGCGGAACACCTTCATCTTGGCCGTGAAGCCGTCGGGTTGCTGCTCCACGACGCCGTCAAGGAGTCGGTTAGCTACTTTCGGGTCTGGGCACCTGGAATTGGTTTTGTAAAGCTGGTTTTCTAGTAAAAAAAACCCGTGGTGGATGATAGTGAGCGGCTCGGGAGCCGGATCAATCCCTCCCATACGCTCCGCGACGCACTCGCTGACAAAGTAGCCGACACCAGCGCGCCGCTCAGTAATCTCCTGAATTAATTTGATAGTTTACGTTCAGTTATTTTAATTTAGTTTTTGACACTTACCCATTTCAGCTCGACGACTTCTCCCAGCTCTACGGCACTCACGGTCTGTCCGTCCTTCAGGATTCGCATCTTGATCTTCTCGAGGGCGCGCGCAGGGGGTTCGGTTGGGTCGCTAAAAAGTTCTAAAAATTTCCCACTAAAAAGCTAACTCTCTGCTGACGTCCACCACGTCTTCTGGGAGGTCAGAGCTTGACGAGGCCGCCGTCGTTGCCGCACTGAAAACATCTGATTAAAGCCCACATTGGTCTAATTAATTCCAAGCAAATAATTTCAAAAACAAAAACAAGTATTATCAGAAAAAAATTTCAGTTGTAAAGCTGTCTCCCTTCCCTACCTATTACTCGAGTTCCAGTCGGCATTGGAGTAATCACAGGTGACATTAAACGTCTTGTCTGTGGCCGTCATCAACGACGGCGCGTCCATCTCGTTCCTCTGTACGACGACGACAAATGACCACACGTCCGGTTCCTTAGCAGAAGATTAAGCCGATTTAAGCCGCTTACCAGCTCAAAGCCTGGACATTTTGGATTCTCCTCATCTCGATTTGGGAACGGGATTGAGAGGACGGCAAAGTCGTTCTCGCGAAACTCGTAGCGGCAACTTGAGAAGTGGTCCTGGAACGAGATTATTCTGCAGCGACCTTCATCATAGGCCTGAGCATAAGCCCATTTTTGTACCTTGATGAAAATAGCTCCAGTAGTCGGGCGATTGAAGGATAGAGTGACGCTGATTTCTGTGGTTCTGCACTCGGTCCGCAATTCTGGAGTTCACAAAGCAATCCAATATTAAATAAAGTATCCCACTCGTCTTGACCGTATTCCCAACATCATCGGCAGCCACAACCTGCCGTGTCGCTTCGAGGTCGTCGAGCACGTTGATCGTGTCCGTGAACTCTTCCGAGGCCACGGTTGACATTTCGAGGTGTGCCTGGAAGATAATTTTATTGCACGCGATTACCCTGCACAAGGTCCTGAAAAAAAAAACTATTTTTCGATTTTTTTACGTTTTATTGGCGTTGTTTAGTTTTCCCTACATGAAACGCCAAAAGCGCGATAAAAATGATCAAGACTCTCAAGGCATGTATCGTCACGAATTTTGGCATTTTTTAAAGGATGGTTTTACGTAGAGGGGTTCATTTTTAGTACTTCTGACGTAAGCTGACCTCGCGATCCTGGTAACTCGTCGATTCTTCAAAATCGTGGCTCTCGATCAATTGCGGGAAAGTCGATCCGTCAATCGGACGCGGCGTTGTCGTCCGCGAGCTCAGGTTCAGCGAAAGTATCGGGAAGGACCCAAGGCTCGACGGTTCCTCACTTCCCAAAATCGCCTGCGAAGTCGCCTCCACCGGACCGCGCTCATCGTCACCCGACCGCACATCTGTGGCAATCCCTGAAAACCAAAAGCAATGAAATTCGGAAATCTCTCACCCTGCTGCCCCTTTTTTGGCTTGACGCTCGGGCTGAGGATGTAGTCGCAAAGCTTGTCAAAGTAATCCACGCCCTCGACCGTGTCGAAAAGAGGCGCGTTCGTGAATCGCGAATCCGGGCTAGACCAGCATTCTTCCTGAAAACCCAATTGGCTCAAAATTTCGGCTGCACTCCCTACCTTCTCGTAATCGTACGAAACCGAAGCGCACTTTTCGCCTTGATTTAGGCAGTGTTCGAGGCATTTCCTCAGCGAGGGACTTCTCTCGACAAACGAAGAACCGTTGAGCTTTTTGTTGGCGACTTGCTCGAAGGCCGCTTCCCCGCAGATGAATTCCGCTAAAAACGGGTAATGGACTGTTAGCGGTGGAGGGCTTCTATTCTATGCCTGACTAGCAATTCTTTTGAGAGCACAAATCTTTTTTCTACTGAAAAGGCATAAAAAATCTTCGACATGTTTAAAATTTGACATCTTGGGGCAACCGTCAAAAAATCTTAAAAGTTTGATAATATGCCTGGGGGGTTTCCTGGTCGGGGGGCAACCAAATTCTTCCTTCCCGACAAATTCTTTTTTTTTTATTTATCTTATTTTTTTTATTTTTTTTTTTTATTTTTTTAAAAATTTTAAAAAATAAAAATAAATATTTTTAATTTAAATTTTTTTATAAAAACCCAAATTTCCCCTTTAGGGTAAGGGAGAAAAAAGAAAAAAACCCAAATTTAAAATTTAAATATTTTTAAAAAATTTTTTTATTTTTTTTTTTTTTTTTAAATTAAAATTTAAATAAAAAAAAAAAAAAAAAATTTTAAATTTTTTTTTTTTTTATAAGAGAAAAAAAAAAAAAAAAAAAAATAATTTTCTCAGAAAAAACTTCCCCCAAAAAACAAAAAAAAAAAACTATATTTGCTGAAATGCTGCAACGGCGTAAAAGCTACATAATAATAGGTGAGGTCGCTGCCCCCGCTAACGGTACAGTACCATAAACTGAGCCCCATTTCTGACCATTCTCAACTCACATTTGAGGCAGTACTTCTCAAAGTACTCCCCACCGCTAATCGGGCTCAGGTCGGTCTGCCGAATGCGGCGCGAGAAACCGGACTCGGCCGAGAGGTGGCACTCCTTTTTGGCGCTCGAGTGGACGAAGGCCCGACACGGGAATTTCTCGCCGGAGACCAGGTTTTTCTAAAATGCATAAGAATGAGTTTTTATTGCCCACCTCACAAATTTGGCGGCATTCGTAATGGCTCTCCGCTTCCACAATCACGTCCTTCTTCGGGGATATAGAAAATTCTTCTGCTCGAATCCAATGCATTGCCGAACCGTCCCGACAATCCGCTAAAGTTTTGCATTCATCATACTCAATTATCTAAACTTACTATTATGGCAATTATTCTCAAAGTAGTCAACAATGGCATCGAAGGGGGCTGCTGCGAACATTTCCGGGTGCTCATTCCTAGTCTCACGGTTGATGATGCATTCTCCAGTCTCGTAGTAGTACATCACTAAAAATGTATTTTTTTATAGGATTTCCGACTAACCCGATTTACAGGGGACATTTAGTCGAGAATCTGAAGCCAGGCAAAGAGAGAGGCATTCGGATAGGCCGCCAGTTTGTTGGACCTAAAGTTCATAAAAGCTTAGGATCAGCCGTTCTCTGGTCCACCTCCATTGCATAGCCGATCAAAATTTGCTGCGGAAACCGCTCAAATGCATAGGGCGAGGAGCAGAGGAAGTCTTCTAATCAGAGTAAATTACTTTTAATCACAAAATTTACCCTCCACGCATACGTGCTGGAAGAACGAAACAGCACCCGTGCCTTTGGCCAGCACCGAGGCGCCAAAGGGCTGCCCGTTTTCCGGATGCATGGAACATTCCTGCGCGGCCGGATCGTACTCGAATGAGGAGCAAAGTGTGCCCTAAAACAGTAATAGAGACCTGGAAGCACCAACTACCTTCGTCTGGTTCACGCAGGCCTGGGCGCATTCATTCAGCGTAGAGTCCTTGATTGTATTTGTAGGGAATTCCATAAGCTTCATCCCCTCAGAGCGCATAAAGGTTGTCGTATTCTTGCCGGTGCATAACGAGGCTAAAAACAGAATATGGCAATAATTCTAGGGACAAACCAGCCGCCACGAATTGCCAGCCGAGTAATAAGGCGCAGACGATAAAGTGTTTCTTCCGCATCAGGAATCACATCATCTGCTCAAAGCTGTGGATCAATGCTCTTCGTTCTTCGATGCAGGGAGAAGTACGGTACGGGCTGGTTCAACCTTGCGACGTCGCAATGAATGGGCAGCGGTCAAGAGGCGGGTGGAGGGAACCGTGTGGCGAATAGAGAGGAAGCATGCGAGATGAAGGGGTTTCGAATGCCCCCAGCCACACGCGCATAATTATCCGCGGCCCATTGTGCGGCACTGTCGGCGATCCGCGCGTCTAGTCCCGAGATCCCCTCCCCTCCGTCGCTGTTCTTCCAAGCAATTAGGCCGCCCCAAGTCACTTTCCGCCTCCAACTCACTCACTCACTCATCCTGCAACTCCTGGGCTGGGGACCAACATTTATTCACATAAAGTTTACGACAGCGTCAAAGAATCACAGAATAATTTACAAAGCCAGGAAACTGGCAATTTATAATTGGCAAGATGCCAAAATGAAATATTACGCCAGAAAGCGGCATGCGCAGCGTGCAAAAGCGAAAGAGTGAACGTAAGAAGAAAGAATTGAAAGGAGCCGAGTAGATTAGGCTTTAGTGGGGACGTAGGGGTTCAACAAAATTAGTCACTTAGGCATCAGGGTAGGGGTAGCGATGAGCGCGCGAACCGTAATGGCCATTGTGACGACCATAGTTGTAGGTGCGATCGAGGCCACGGTTGCCGTGCTTCTTGTACGAATTCATTCCGTGCCCATGTCCATGCCCGTGTCCGTTGCGGTTTTCGTGATGAGTCGGAACTTGCAGTTGCTAGAAACAATGGTGAAAAAATGGCGGAATAAGCCTACCATAGTCTGCTCGCCGATACGGACGAGGGCTTTGTGGTTCTCCGAATCGTTCTCGGGCGTGTGCATCACATCCCAGCACATCTCACAGTAGTATTGAAGGCAGTCCGCATCACCACAGAAGTAAGAAGCGTAGCGGCCTTCGCAGAGCGTCCCCTCGCATTCATCACAGATTTGCTCTTCCATGAGGTACGGCTTGATGTCAACCTAAGTAACAGAAGTGAGAATCAACAGGTGAACATACGCGTTTTTGGATATCCCCGTGAGGAATCATGACATATTTGCCTCGGAGAGCAGCGATGTAGGCCTGATTGGTGGCGAAAGTAATCCGGGCAGCTCCTTTCGGGTACTCCAATTCCGGATCGATGTCAATGCCGACGTACGTCACGTGGCCGTATGCCCTTTGCATTGCGCCAGCGATTTCAGCTAAAATACGAACGTACATAGAACAAATCCTAACAAACCAGCGCGCGAAGGACGCGGAACCCCGCCGATGAACACAGTGCGAGAATGGTAGGCCGGCGCATCATCACTGTAGACGTAGTCCATGTCGGAAAGCATCCATGGGCGGACTTGCACCGGCTTGTTCGGCATTGTAGGCGAAGACACCGTGATGTAAAACCTAATAAAAGATTGAAGCCTATAAATGAAGAAAATGACTTGTTTCGCTCAGCAATGCAGTTGGCCATCAGATACTGCACGCTAATCTCCTTTTCGTAGACGATGAAAACGTATCCAGTGGTGGCACGCGATGGCAGCTGATCCTTCATCGCCGGCTGTCGAGGCCAATCAACGACGAGCTTGCCAAACGAGGAGAAGCGATTGTATATGTCGGCTAAAAACTATTTCCAGGCAAAAATCGAAATCCTTACCATCCCGGACATCAATCGGAAGACCGCCCACGAACACTTTCCTTGAAAAAATATCACGCGGCGCTTCCATAATCGGCGACGTGGGTGTCGATGGGAGACGTTGGTTGTAGATGGTTGGCAGCGGCGGGCCAAAAAGCGTCTTGCGCGGAGAGCCGACCGATCCGTTCTTGTGCGGGCTCTGGTTCGTCGACATGTCGAGAGAAGACGTGTTGAGGCTTTTGAGCGGCGAAGAACCGTTGAAGGACTAAATAATAAAAGGAGTAAATGGAAAGGTTGAAAAGTCTACCTTGATGGGGCTGCCCCCGCTGGAAGCGCTGCTGTACGTGTCTTCAATGTTGGGGAAGGCGTATTCTCCGTTTGGCGTCTTCGTCACAAGGGAGACGACGTCGCGGGGGCGAAGGTCGAGCCCAGAGATGTCGAACAGCTTGTGCGGAGCGGAGTCGAGGCCCCAGCCATTCTTCGGGATGTAAGCGCACGTCTTTTCCATCAGAGGGCTCCCTAAACATGACTTTGAGAGCGCAAAGTACATGTTAAAAAGAAATCGAAAGGAGCTTTTTAATTCTTTCCGAAAACAAAAAAAAAATGATATATAGAAATCGAAAACGCAATCAGACTGATAAAAGAAGTCAAAAAAAATTTTTGGAATGCGCAAAATTAGAAATGGAATGACGACGCAAAGCGAGCCTCTCCCTGCGCGCTATGGGACCCGGCGGGGTAATGTGTAATTTGTCAAGCTTCGGAACCCCGAAACGTTTGTAGTTTTTCATGTCGCGTAATTATAACATTTCGTGGAATTAATTCTTATTTATTGAAACCAAAAAGCCTAACACGAGCGTGTGTGATAAAAGGCACTTGACATTGAACAAATCACAAAACTATGGCATAAAAGACGGAGAGCAAACCAAGGAAATCGGAAAGCTTGGCAGACAATTCATAAACACGCGCCGTACACTCGGATGCCGATTAATAAGTGAAAAGCATTTTGACAATAATCTGGTGGGCAGTTGCGCCTTGCCAAGGCCACAGACACGGCAGGCGTGGAATGTCAAAGACGATAGAACTTTGCAGATAAATACGTTGGAAATCCCTGTTCTACACAATACCCATAGGCTAGTGAGCTAAACGTTAGGCTAAAACTAGATGGCTACCACCTCAAAAACCGCAATGTGTTGAGCAGGAGCATAATTGGGAGTAGGGATAGAGGGAGGCGGGGGGTTGACGCGGAAATCACGGGCAATGCGTCAAGCGTGTCGACGAAACGCAACTGTTTGACAGTGGACAGAATTAATTGGAAACGAGGGCTTTCGTCGAGGGCGAAGCTGTCGACAAGCCGACGGACGTAGGAGGAACATGCCTGGAAAAAAGTGCTTTTACAATTTCAATTTGTAAACCCTACCTTCTCCACGCCATCTGATCGCCACATGACCTTCGTGTCGTTCAGGAACATGTTGTCGCTGAGCAGCTCGATTTGGTAGATGACATTCCCCTCCTCCACAAGCCCCTCTTGCATCACGATCCGGCATTTTAGCGTCTGATTTGCTCGTATTTTTTGATAGTTTTTGGCCCTACCTCCGGCAGCTGGCGCTCAAGGGCCCACTGCAGTTGGGCGGCTATGTCCTTGCCGAAGTCGGAGGATAGCATTCCGGCTCGTTCGAGTACCTGGAAAATTGGCTGTCACAGCTCAGGGTCAAGCTTAGGCCTACATCGTGCTCAATGTTCTTGCGCAGCAGCTCGAGGTCCGCCAGGGAATAGCCGGCAAAGATGTAGAGGCCCGGTCGGACTTCTGGCGGCTCTTCGGGCGTGTCGCAGACAAAGACAGCATTCTCGCACATGCAGGCTCCGCGTCCTTGCAGGTAGAGGCGGTCGCCAAATTCTGAAGCGATCGTATGATGTCGTAAAACCGGTGTTTTTTCGGTGTGGAACCAATGGCCGGCTAAATTCAAGATTCAACATACCCATCTTTGTGAGCGGAGCCGGGCATTTTGAGTCCTCGTGGCAGTCCAGCTTCTCACAATTCAACTGCTCGACATCCGTACATTCGCACCAAGTGGAACATCGGCCCGCCCAATCCGTATATTTCTGAAGTCAAACAAACTTTCGCCCAACCCGAATGACAAACAACTTTAGGAAACCTGGGAACTTACTCGAACGATGGCCCCGACATGCACGAAAAGATCTTTGCCGTTGGCGTGCTTGATCGAACAGTTATCTGAAAGAAATAGATAGCATCGAATCTTCCAAAATTGGTACCCTGCGTCGCTGGAGGCGCTATCGTTACATATTCCGTAGTTTTGGGCTCGGTTGTAGGTGTAGTCGAGATCCAAGGTGGCCGTTCTGAGCTCTAAAACCGGATTATTGCCTTAATAAATGTGATTAACCGTCAATCCGGGCCGGGGGGCAGCGGTGGTTGTCCTCTGGGCTTTTTGGCGGGGGATTGTCTTTTGGAGGCGCCTAGGACAAAGGATTTTTTTGATACAAAGCCAAAAACTACTCACTCTGCGTCCTTGACGGCTTCAGCACCTTCGCTTGAGCTATCAGCAGTCGGTTCCGGCTCCGTTGGATGAGCTTTGGACTAAAAAAAAGTGTTGAAGAGCACGAGGTTTCATAATCTACCCGGTGTCGTTCAGCCTTTGCTCGCTCCTCCTTCTCCCGCATCGCGTGCAGGAGTTCTTGGGTTCGTTGCTTCTGGCGCTCGAGCTGCTGCTCTCGGGTCGTTTCGGAGGATCGGTCTTCCTGTGCCTCCATGTTTTGACGACGTTCGGGCTAGAAAACGACTGTTTTTTGTTTTAGAGATCTAAAATAACACTTTTTAGAGAATAACATTATAGTCTCAAAGAATAAAGGCATTTCGCACCTCATCCTGACCGAAAACCCAGCCGATTTTGGTGTATTCGAGTTGCGGATCGGGCCTCGTCACCAGGACATCATCATCAGCCTCGGAGGTGGGAGTCGTTTTTGGCTTCCTAAAAGTTAAATTAGCTTATTTTCATGTTTTGATGAAGACATGAAAATCAGTTTTTTCTAAAAAATTACAAAAACACACCGTTCCTCGACCTTCTGCTTTTTTGGGACATGCATCGTCGGTTTCACAGTGGTTGTGGTGGTTGTTGTGGTAGTAGGCCTCGTTCTTTTCGGAGCTAGAAAACAATATAAAAAATCAGAGCTAAGAAAATTACCGGCCGTGATTTCCGGTCTTCTTCGGGGTTCGGGTTCGCGCGGCCTTTCCGTGTACTCGACCTAAAAGTATAGAACGGTCAGATCAAACGGCTTTTTGGGAGTTTTATTCCCCACTACATTCCTACCTGCATTTCGGGCAATTTTTCCATACCTTTCGGTCCTCATCCGTCGCCTGCACGCGATTTGTGTCGACGTGGGCCCGCTGCGGCTTCATGTAGCCCATAATGCGCGAGTAGTCGAGCATTGCCTTTTCTGAAAATTTGTTATATTTGATTTTTCTTAATTGATAATTAGTACGTTCACTAAAACAATCAAATTTATACTTTACATTCCCAACTTACCGATACAAGGATTATTCGGAATCATCGTGTTCTGCAAGCTCAAACATTCCATATCCGATATCGGGCAAAAGCATGGCGATTCAAGGAGGGAGCCGCGAGATCGGAGTAGGGTTTGTCTGAAGTAAAAACTGTATATTTCTGTGTTAAGGGGCTACCGGCAATGATCCAATTGGTCGGTGGCACAAGAGCCCTTCGAAACGGGGCACACGCTATCGACCGAATAGCGCAGTTGGCTGAAATGTGATTTTTTTTTTAGCCTTCTAGGAATATTTGATGTATTGTAAGTTTTAATAGCAAGTATTTTAACGCCGAAATGGACGATTTATGATACCCAAAAAACGTACTTGCAGCGCGGATCCGTTCGACATTCATCGACCACTTCCTTACACGTTCGCATCTGACTTCCGGCTGATGATGAATACAGGCATTTCGGGTAGAAGAGTGACTAGAAAAGGTTTATATTTTTTGCGCGCCTAGACGGGCGACTAGAAGACATTTCTAATTATTTTCGCGCGTACAGAGCGGATTGTAAAAAGTTTATAAGGTTTTTTCGCGCGCAGAATAGCGACAAGAAAGTCGCAAAGCTTTTTCCAGCGAGAAGCCTTGTCAATCCGTCAAATTTCGCCCAATTTCTCCTCGAAATCAACACACAATTTACTCATTTTACTATTTAAGATTTTCACAGATTTCCCCTGCCTCTCATCGTCAGCCCCCGCCAGGGGCTAATCTTTTCGAAGACAAATGGGCCCATTTTTTGCGAGGAGCCTCGACCTCCACCTCACCTCCTCCTCCCCTTTTTCGCGGGCCCAAAAAGACATGGTGGCCCTTTGTCTGTGTCCGAATTGAATGCCGTTTCCTGGCCTCGACGAGGCACCGGCAAGAGGAGGGCACCTCGTCGCTCAAAAGCCTACCCCTCACCCCCATTTTCCACCTGAAAAATTTGGCTCTAACAAATGCGGTGCGCGCGGGGGCGGCGGGAGTGCGTAGAGTGGTTTTTGGATGGCCAAAAATTGCCTGCAGGATTTTTGGTAAAAGTTGATGGGCAGCAGGGGAACCTAACAAGATCGGTGCTGGGCTGTTGGCGGGGGTGTATTTCGTAATTTTGCCTAATAGACAATCATAAAAATAATCAAACATTTTGGAATTTTTGGCGATTTTCATCCATTTTTCCCAAAAATAGAAAGCCCCGAAAATATTAAGTTTGATAATTTTTGTTAACTTTATTGAATTAAAACTAGCTAAAAAGCTATAAAAATCACGTGGATTTCATTAGTGGAGCCCCACGGAGCGAGAGTCCGCTAATAGCCCAGCACCGAAACCGCGGATTGACGGGAAGAATGATTTTTATTTTCCAGAGCCGTGGAATTTTGCCATCCCAATTTTTATATGTTTTTTTTTAAAGCCGTCTTCTCGTATCTTCCTTTCTTTACCTCGAAAAACCGGTTCATATGAGGAAAGCAGGCGGTGACCCCGGTGGCCCGCCGAAAATTAGCAATTATACCCCCAAGGGAAAAGCCCCTTCCCCCCGGTTCCCATCACCCACATAATAGACCCGGGAATTTGAGCTAAAAATTAGCGATAGGGCCCCATGGTTCGGGCTGTTTTAATTCTGGAGCAGGCTTGACGAACGCTATATAGGGAGAGTAGCAGCTTCTAGACAGCGTCCACTACCCGAACACCCACACGCATAAAAAGCCAAAGAACAGTGGCGGCGGGCCCGTAGAATCGGGCGCTTATGCGCACTCGGCCGGACAACTCGGACGGCCACTCCCGTTTATGGACATCCGTTTTTGGGGGGATCGGAGAAGTGCACCCCCATCTGTAGACTGAGGCATTCAGATGGCTTTTCTAGCTTTAAAGCGCACTTTCTGGGAGTTCGACGTATACACCTAATTATGCAGAGAGAGTGGGCAAAGAGAGCGAAGCAACTCTTCAGAGGTGTATACGTACTCCCTGAACTCCCTGAACTCCCTGAACTTGAGCTCTAGGACACCGCGAGGTGAAGCTTGGGGACCTTGTTTAGCTTTCAAAATTTCGGTACTGGACTCTTAGCGGCGGGGGAGCTAACTTCTTCTTTATGTTTAAAAACAGTAGATTGGTCTAAAAAGGGTTTTTATTTCGGTATAGGGCAGTACGAAATCACTACAGAAAAATCCACCCGCTAACAGACCAGTACCGGACTTGACTGGCGATTATCCACGTTCTGGTGCGTAATCTTTCCGAGCTTTTTTGCACTGTCGTGCTCCCCGGCTCCCTAGCATAAATGCCAAAAAATAGGCGAAAGCCACCGGGTTGGCAAAAGCCGGGAGACGCCGACACCACTCTACCCGGCGACACAAAAGCCCCGAGCGGAATAGAAAATTGGCACCTGTTGTTCGAGGCATTCCTCATCGTGGGCTGCACAGTGGCAGAACATCAACGGCTCGGCGAGGGCCCGCGGCACGTAGTAGGTGAAACGGTGCAGCGCCTGGAGAAGGATCTTTTGCGTAAAAAAGACAAAATCGACGGGAGAGGATGCAGCGCGCGCAAAAAGGACAATAGTTTTTCATATTTATTTATAGTATAGTACTTTTATAATACATTTCTTCGCGTATATTGTATTTCATACGCGAAAAAATGTATTATAAAAGTTTTATAGCCTAAAAACTATTTTTGAAAACTATGGGCAGCACATAAGATAACGGGGGGGATTTTCGGCGTTTTGAATATTTTCGATATTTTGAAAATGCCATTCGATAGAGGACCGAAAAATATACTAAGAGTTTTTTTACAGCCCGAAAAAAGCATATTTAAAAATACTTTTATCATAGAAAAAGTTTGAGTGCCCCCCCGTTATCCTATGTGTACCAAACGTAACTATATTTGAAGAGACAAAAAAGCAAAAAAAAACGCTGAAAAATTTAAATTTGAAATTTGAAAAAAAAATTGAAAAGAAAAAAATTTTTATGTGAAATCTTGGTCGAAAAATCATTTGTTTTCTATTCTTACGCCAATTTGGAAAATGAAAGGAAAAGTTAAATATATTGAGCTAAGATTAAAGGAAATCATGAAAATGAGAAAAA